GTGAGGCCGAAGGCCCCTGCCATGGCTGCAGCTTCAGTCCCGGTGCCTGTGGTCTGCGGGGGGGGGCCCCCAAGCAGACCACAGGCACCCGGACTGAAGCGGCAGCAGCGGCGGTTCCCCGCGCTTCTGAGGCTTTGCTCTGGCAAAGCCTCAGAAGCGCGGGAACCCGCCCGGTGTCCCTGGTCTGCTGGAGACGGTCTCCAGCAGACCAGGGGCACCGGAGCAGCTTACGAACGGGGCTTTCTCGCCCCGACTTCCGGGGCGAGAAAGCTCCGTTCGTAAGTGCGGATCCGACATAAGTCGGATCCGCGTAAGTCGGGGACTGCCTGTATGTAATATCTGCTTAACTTACAATCAGAGAAGTGATTTTTCTCATGGTCAGCCCTGCAAACTAAGATTAGGCTCAAAGTCATACTGAGTTCACTCCTCATGCCTTATCACCTAAAATAAAGATTCTGCAAGGCATATTATGCCCCTAGTTATACCTGAGCACTCCCCTGGTCTTCAGTGGATTTCTAAAGGTATAGCTGATTGGAATTAGCTAACACATCTGTTGGCACATAATACATAAGAGACTCCAATTATTAACATCACTCATCATTAACAGCATTGATTCTGTAGGGCTAGCCTTAATAAACTTATGTAAGTGAACATGTATTTTTGCCAGTAAAATGAGCAGATGCATTTCTGAATTCACTTGAGCAATACACGCTGTGTAAGAAGATGCCATTTATACAAAGTCATCTTTCAGAATAGAACAATACTTTACGCTATACCTTTCCCCCCTGGTTACTTAATTATTGTCAGGACAATTCTTCTGTTTGGGACGAATCTCCGCTCTATTCCCCTATGTCGTGCCTCATGATGAACTGCAATGAGATGTGGCCCATGACAAGAAAACACTGGTTTCCGGTATGAAAAGCATAAGCAAAAATATCCCTGTTTGATACAATGAATTTTGAAACTCTTGTACAACATGCTGCTGAAGGCTGAATAGGGCCTTTACTTTTCCTTCCTTAGGTAAACAAACTGACAGGATCTAGCTTCTGATCTGTTAATTAGGAATTCCTTGCTAGTTAAATATGAATGACTTTATACAGATTAAAAGCTTCAGAGGAGTAGCCAAGTTAGTCTGTATCTGGAAAAACTAAAAAAAATAACAAATAGTCTAGCACCTTAAAGACTAGAAAAACATGAATGTTCATGATACCATCTACATTTTTTGTTAGTCTTTTAGATGCTGCTAGACTATTTGTTGTTTTTTAAGTTTATACAGATAAGTTTATTTATATTAGTGGTCCTATAACGTATGTTGCTGTTTTCAAAAACCAAATTAACCCTCAACCTATTTGAAGTCCCAATTTGTGAATGATTTTGGAAGAGAGAAATTCCAAATGAATCTAATGTCACATTAGTCTTCATAGACTATTAAAAAAACCCAATCTTATAGTGTCAATAAGAATGTGTAGCTAACTCATATACCAAAGAAAACATCACAATAATGGGATTTAGCATCTACATGTTCTACTTTAAAGTAAGCTTGGTGATTGATTATCACTATCAAATTTCATAATCAATAGTGCAATTTTCTTTCTTTCTTTCTTCCATTCTGTATCTCCAAAATAAGGTCTCGCTAGACCATCTATAGTACAAAGAAATTTAAACTCAAGTGATGTTTCCTTTAAAAATTACTGATTATAATAGAAAGTATTGCTCATAGACAACCCACCCCCATATGGTCTGCAGTATATTCATAATAGCAAGTTCTATCTGATATTCACTATTACAAGCTGACATTGAAATGAAGCATTTAGCTTTTTTTCTGGAACAGAAGGGCCTAAGTGAGATTTGTGGATCAATACTATCTGTACTAGTGAAAGTCCCATTCAGCGCTGGATTGTGACTGTAGAAATTAATGATCATTTCTTGCATCCAGGCATGTATTCTCACCTCAGAGCACGAGGACACATGGACCTAATCCAAGACCTGTGAAGCTAGTGGGAATCTTTCCAGTGCATTCAGTGGGCTTTGGATCAGGCCAAATATTAATCAATGCTAAAAACAGCTGAAGGAGCAAATCCCCTTGCCTCAAGATAAAAACATGCCCTAGGCTATTCCAAACATCCTTAGTTTCTTAGTGTTGCTTTGTCTTGACATTAAAGAGCACCTGTGCAATGATAAGCATGGAATGATGAACAGACTGTGTACATATATTGCATAAAGTCATTCGCATTTGGAAAAAAGTCTCAGCCACTGCCAGCTGAACTAGCAGCCTATGCATCAAAAATAATTCACACAGTTGTAAAGTATCATTAAACAAAAACATCCCCAGAATGTGAACAATACATTGACTTGGATCTTGTTTTTGCATAGGTAAGCTATTAATCACAGTATCCAGAAAAATGGGTGGAACGAGCCCCAACACCTTGATTCATTACACTTCACAGTGAAAAGCATCTGTGATTATATTTTATAGTCAAACTTACACTAGAAGCACATTCTAGTAAATAAATTCTAGGAGCTTATCTCTCCCTGTATTCCAAAAATCAATACAAAAAGAACCATGACTGTATCTCTAGGTTCTCCACGGCAACCGAGTTTATACTGCAGTGCATACTGCTGTGTTTTGGCAGATCATATTGTGGGATTTCAACATTGCACTTCTTTAAGAAATAAACACTTTGACAGCTTCAAAAACGTATCCAATATCAGAATGGGCAGGAAATATATACATCTTGCTCCTCACTTCTTATAGACAGATCCTGACAGATACCAACAAAAATGCATATAATCCAAGAACTAATGGTTTTTATTCAATGTGCTTTTCCTCATTTAAATATATTTATCTTTTCCCTAATAGCATTCAATGCTCTATTATGTTCTATCTCACACATGCTTTGAAACAGGTCAATTAAATAGATGTTGATTGAATATTTTAGTAATCTTGTACCACATTATTCTTGGATTATTGGTTAAATTAAAATTATCCACATACTTTGTCAAAAACATATAGGCTGTGTCTAGACTGGCAAGTTTTTCTGCAAAAGCAGCTGCTTTTGTGGAAAAATTTGCCAGCTGTCTACACTGGCAGCTTGAATTTCTGCAAGAACACTGACGATCTCATGGAAGAAATCAGTTCTTCTTGCGGAAATACTATGCTGCTCCCGTTCGGGCAAAAGTCTTTTTGCGAAAAAGGGCCAGTGTAGACAGCTCAGATTTGTTTTGCGCAAAAAAGCCCCGATCGCGAAAATGGCGATCGGGGCTTTTTTGCACAAAAGTGTGTCTAGATTGGTGCTTTTGTGGAAAAGCATCTGTGCCAATCTAGATGCTCTTTTCCGCAAATGCTTTTAACGGAAAACTTTTCCATTAAAAGCATTTGCGGAAAATCATGCCAGTCTAGACGTAGCCATAGACTGTTGGGGAACCTATGGCAACACTGAAAGCCATTCAAGACAATCCCATTCAAGTTGGAATTTCTCCCTATATGTGAATAAGTAGAACCCTTATTTAAATGTATAAATCCAAAGGACTAAATTCTGCTGTTAGGCTATAACTATTCAGGCCTGCCTGCAAGGACCTGTCCTTTAAGAATTTAAGTGTGTTCTTACTACTTTACTAATTACAGAAATTTAAAAACAAAGAATCAAAATCATAGCCTATCTGTATGTGATGGTCTGAGGCCTTACTCTTAAGATAAGGCTTTTGGCTAGCAGCAGGAGCATCCATAAGCAAGGAAACATGCATTCACGTCCTTCCAAACCAATCACACTGAAATAAGGCAATTTGGGGCTGTTGGAAAGGTGATCCAATCTAACACCACTAGATAAAGGGAAGAACCCAGGAGATTTAAAGAAAACTTAGGCTGATAGCTTTTTTTTCTGTAAGGACCAACTTATCAATCATTGGGGTTGTGAAATTCTCATTTCTTTATTGCTTCGTTATTATGCTTCCCATCACTTAATTGTTTATCTATATTGCATCTGTATTATCTCTGTTTTTTAATTTTTTATGTCTCCTGTATAATTAATTTTGCTGGGTGTAAGCCAATTAAGGTGGTGGAATATAATTGGTTAGACAATCATGTTACAATATGTTATGACTGGGTAGTTAAATTTCAGTCAAATGATTGGTCAAGGTATATCTGAAAATACTATTATATACACTGGGGAGAAACAGGAAGGGGCGTGAGAAAACAAGGGAACAAGAGGAAAAAGAAAGGAACCTGGGTTCATGCTTGTTGGAAGCTAATCTAAATAAACATTGCATTGTTTGCATCTTCAGACTTTGGGTATTGCTGTTCTCTGTTCACATGAGAAGGACCAGGGAAATGAAAGGGTGACGGGATAAACCCTCTAACATCTGCTTTCATGTACCTAGATATAAAGGAAATGGACTGTGGCCCAAAATCTAGAGAATCACAGCTTCATAAGATGTGTCGTAAGCTGGATTTTGCATTTGTATTGCTAATTTGCTTTGAAGAGGATAAAGTCACAAATGGGCATACAGCTTTATATTTACTTTGCATCTGACCAGTTCATCTGTCTTGGCTGTTTCCAGAGTTATTTGAAATATATTACTAATGAAAAATATTCCAAACCCCATTTTTTTCAGACAGAAGCATACAAATAACAAAAGTGTAGATTTATACATCATTTAGAGCAGTGTTTCTTAAACTGTGTTGCGTGGCATACTGTGTGCTGTGAGGCAGTCGGAGGTGTGTCGCGGAGAACAACAGAGTTCAAAATGGCCACCCTTAAAGGGGCAGATGACCTTTTTTTTTTTTTTTGGTCAATAACTTTCCCCTGACCCTAATTTCCTTCCTCCCTCACCCCCACAACAAAATCCTTGGTGTTCCTCATAAACAATAATTATTGTCTGGTGTTCCTTGGTCTTAAAAAGTTTAAGAAATACTGGTTTAGAGTCAACCCACAACCACCACTTCTTATGTTTGACAGGTCTAGTTTTTGCAGTAGGCAAATGACAAAATTCTGGTGAAATCAAAATTTTGGGCACAGCTTATTCCTAGTCCTACAAACACATTCCTCTTTTTGGTACTGTGCACATAGGCAGCAAAGGTATCAACCAAAGCTTAAAAATGTAAATATAAAAACAATGTACCCTCTCATTTATCTAAATGGTCTGTAGGACATCTAAAAGTTTTGGATAACCAAGTGTTCAGCGAACTGGAAGTGCTATTTTGAACACAGGATGACATGGGAGACACATTGGATTTGGATAACTAGGATTTTTGGATACAGGGAATTTGGATAACTGGAATTACACAGAACATCAGGAAAGCACTATCAAATAGTCCTACAAAACAGACAGAAATACTGTATTTGTATAATTGAAAAAGTTTTGAAAAAGCATTTGCTATAGAAGGACTATTATAATGCTATCTGCACAACAATTCATGGCTATAAACCAGTCTTGTTTTGTCATTTGTAAACATTGCCAGAAGCATTCTAGCTTAAGTGAAAAATGTGGTTTTGGTTTTCTTTGCCATTCTTTCTCTCCTTAACCCCTTTTTGTCCCCTTTGCAATATGTCACGTCTTTGCTGATGAGTCAGCCTCACCTTGAACTGTAGCTGCCCTGTAAGGATGTGGCAATGACGAGTAGTAGAGGACGATGAAGCTAAAATAACAGGAAAACTGGGATTTGCAGATTTAGTTTCATTTTCATAAACATTTTCTGAATTTAGTTATTAAAAGCACAACCAAGTATTGTCTGTGCACTCAAATCTCCAGTGCAATCATTGGCTTTCTGGAAGCTCTAGGAAAGCACAATGCCTACACCTCTGACCTAGTCTTAGCCTGTTTCCCTCCATTCTATTCTCCTGCCTCACCCCCGTCCCTCATCACTTATCTTCCGTGTCCCCTGTGTGTGTTACCCTGCCAACCATCCTGAGGCTTTTCCCACACTGCTCTTATCACACACATGGAATACGCTCCCCTCTCCCAAGCCAACAAGCCAGCTCAATCCATCTCCCAATTCAAAGGCATTTCTTCCAGGATGCTCACAGGGAGCCAGGAATAGTGTTTTAAAACAAGAAAGCACTTTTAACTGACTCATCAATATGTGCAGAGGCTTACACTAATATACCGTAAATTAGCGTATATAACCTGCGGGTTATACATGTTTTTACAAACCCCGCCCCCGTCCCCCGTGGGGTATATATGTTCGTGGGGTATACAAGTTTATTTTTACCTATTAGAATTGGATTAAGTCAGCTCCGCTCCGCTGCAAGGAGGGCCCGACACACTTCCAGCGCACCTGCGCTGTGCTCTCCGTTCCCCACCCAGAGGAGGGTGGGTTGCGCCTGGCTGTAGCTGCGCAGGGCCTGGGCATGAGTGCGGCTCCCCTCCTCCTGCAGGCCGGCCAGCTTGCCTGTGCTGCAGTCTCTGTTCCCCCCTGGTATGTGCAATTACCGTGAATTAGCCTATAGAATTCGCAGGCTATACATGTCCACGGGTAATCTAAGGGGTTTTTTTACACAGCAAAGAAAGATCGCAGGTTATACATGAGCGCATGTTATATACACTAAAACACGGTACTATGTGATCTTGTCATTTCCACCTTGTCCTTCCCTGGTTTTTGTTACCCCTGCCACTATAGCGAAACCAGAGCACAAAGCCCATGGGACATGGAGCATCTCTTACCGTTGTGAAGCCTCTAGCACATTTTTAGGTGCAGTTAAACTAAATGATAAATAAAAGAACAGACTGTGATTGGACACCAACTGTGATCTTGACAAGCAGAAACCTAAACTGTAATTAATTAAAAATTATTTTCAACAGCAACTCTCCTCAGACATGTGAAACCCCCCTTACTTCGGGGGGAGCGGGCATTAACAGAGATGAGAAGAATAGGTAACCACAAGGGTGGGCAGCAGGCATCACACTGCCTGCCATCCTTTAGGGTGAATACATAGGAGTTCACAGGGCTTCATTGGTACAACCACCAATTAATCTGGCAAGAGCGCTGATTGGTGGAGTACTTAGAAATACAGCTCTGTCTAACACAGGGCAGCATTAATACCAGAATATACCTCTGCTGGCAAGGTTTAATCATATTCAAATGCCAACGTTGTAGTCTTATCTAGCAATGTCTATGGCGCTCATCATCACAACACCACCCAAGCATTGCCTCTTGCTAACTAAGGTCCACTGCTAATGTAGACAAAGCTCAAATGGGACAAAAAGAGTACAGTAGAGGCAAGGAGATCATCTCTGGGGTGTTCCATACTTAAGTGTGAAAATGGCTAAGGTAAGATCCAAGACAACATCAATTTATATCCAATATGAAAAAGGGAGCATTCACAGGAAGCTTGATGGCAATTTTACTCCACAGTCCCAGGCTAAAGGGCCTTATCTGGGCCCTATCTTTAAGCCATCCAGGCAGTAATTTTTAGGGCCAGAAACACTAGCAACACTTTTTTAAATGGACTCCAAAACTGCACATACATTCTTTTGCTGAACATCGATTCACATTACAAGTGGCATTTGTGTGTACAAATCAGATCGCTGTCTCTGTCTGAACAATGTGGATGGAGAAGTGTGGAGTTTACTGATTCAAAATATTTGTGAGCAATGTTAGAGGTTAGTTTGGAACTGGCTTGAAAATGTTGCCCCTCTAATTTTATTTTCTCTGCCCATTTTTTTTTTTTTTTTAGAAACAGATTTCTAAAGCTCAAAGAGAGAAGCACTATATCACATACAAGATCATTAGTCAATGTAAAAAAATTCAACTAGTCTTGTAATTATTTTTTTCTCTCAGTAAAGACTGTGGTTCCTGTTCATAAATTTCTCTTTCCCCCTTCCAATGCTCAGTTCTAATATATACCGTTTTTTCCTCTAGAGAATAACTTAATATATACCGCAAAGTACATACTAAGTAGGAGGCAGTCTATTATTCTCTCCATGCACAGAATACTATGTCTATAATTACAATTTAGTGTTGATGTGCAGGAGAATGGTGTGGGTAACATCCGCTAAGAGAAAAATAGATACTCTCTTCCTCCCCCGCAAAAAACTATAATGGTTTGTCTTCCGGATAGTTTGAAAGCAAAGATTAGCTGTGCTTCACAAACTCTGGCAGCTCCATTCCTGTGTGCAGGTTAAGTACACCAGCTTTCTCCAGAACAAAGGCAGGGTGAGCAGCATTAGTAAATCTGTGCTTGGTGGTGAATAGAACTAGTCCCCTCTCTGCATTGAAGAAGGAAAGTGTCCCACCATTATAATCCAGCAGAAGGCCAACCCGGGCAGGCTGCTCCGTCATGTAAACGTCACTCATTACACCACAGTGGAAGAATTTATAAATGAAACTGTAAATAACAGGAAAGAGAAACAAAATGAGAATCTATTATGCCATCAATCAAAAACAAACTACTATACTACCATTTATTTCCCAGCCATTAACAAATTGCTGCCTCTTGTACCAACACTTTGCAGAGTTCAGTTCACATGTTGAAAGAGCTCTCTGAGTAGTACAAAACTTACCCCTCATCTAAGCTGAAGTTATTTCACAATACTTCCCTCTACATGCTGAACTCTTACACTAGCCGCCCCTACCCCAAGACAGCCATTTTGATCTTATTCATCAATGCCTCCTTCATTCTTTTCCAGCCTCTGAGCCCAGCTGTGGCTTCATGGGATTTGCAGATGCTCAGCGCCTCACAAGATCAGGCCCTATTTATCTCAAATGTTACATTTAACTGACTGCTGCTAATATTCTCAGATTTAGGATTAAATTAAAAATGTACTCCCACAAAGCTGGCACTTTACTAGAAGTTGTAGTATGCACATGCCCTTATGAATAGGACTATGATCTTGGCTTAGAAATGTTTAGTACATTTCATGGCAGAAGTGCAAGTGAAAAAAAAGCAAAGTCACAAAAAGGAGAGTAAGTCCACCCCTCAGCAGCAGTTCTGTCCCACAGGCCTGTGCCTGGCTCCTCTTGCTAGGTGTTGCAGCCTGACAAATAGGGTTGCAGTACCACTTGGATCTGGTCCATCCGCTGCTTTGCAGATAGAGGCAGAGGAGTAGACAGGCCAAACCTTAGTGGTGCTAAACCCTGTGTGCTAAGTCTCACCACCTCTTAGTGTTTCTAAAGCCATTTCCAAAATTGCACTGACTCCATTCAAGTTCATGATTTCCATAACCACAGTGACCTCCATGGCCAATCATAGCCCTTCCTATAGAGCCTTAAGTGACCTAAGCCTGCCCTGTTCCCAATACAACAACTTCAGACAATGGGACACTCAGGCTAGGTGACCCTCGCTATAAAAGAGTGGAAAGGCTGTCAGGGTGTTCTGTGTGTCATCCCGAGGACTCTGGAACTTGCTTCATTGTTCCAGAAGCAACCATCTGCACATGCTCAAAAAGCCCTTTTTGACAGGGTTTTGCAAGAGGGTTGAAGGTATGTCCCCAGAACCTTGTTCCTGATTCACTCACTGGCTGAGCTGAACCGTGTTCATTTGTGCCTGATAAATGTTTGTTTTTCAATGCTGCTGGGTGTGCTAAGCTGCTGCCAGACTAAGTGTTAGAGCACCTAGAACTCTTGTATAGGTATCTGTTTAACTGTGACTTAAATCTGAAGAAATAAAAATAAACAAAGATGTCTTCAACCATAAGCAAAAATGTTACCTCTCAAGCACCTAGACTCAAGCCAGCTCACCTTGTTTCTGTAGAACAACAACATATGCACCAGGATGTATCATCCTGCCCCAGGATGCTGCCTTGTGGGGTAGAGTTGTAGCAGACTCCAATCCGGTAGCCTTTGCAGCCAGTGACAGTGGTTTCCCAGTAATGCTGGCCACGAGCTGGCAGAAGCTCACCCAGGACAGATGGAATTCTATGAAGGGGGAGAATACAGCAAAGCCAGTATTTCAGCATTGTGACTGCACAGTCTTCTTTTTATCGCTTATGGACACATCATGTGGCAGATATTAACTTCATCCTCTTAAATGGAAGATTTTCAACATAAAACATTGAGTAGCTTTTAGGAAAAACCCTCTCTGATTCTACTTGCACATTGTGGTAAGCTTACTGTGAGAATATAAAACTATTAAACATTATAGGAAGTCATATGACAGCCAGTAAAAGACACACAGGGATGTAGAATAACATTTTCAAAAGTGCCTGGCTGATTTAGAAGCTTACATCACATTCTCAAAAGCAGTGGGGCCGACAGTCTCGCTGGGCCCCTGGGCAAGGCGAGGGGTGGAGAGCGGAGGTGACACCACACCCTTTGAAGGGGTGGGGCCTTGTTTAGAAGGGGTGGGGCTTGGGCTAACTCCCTCCCCTCTCCCGGAAGCTTCAGCTCTACCCAGATTGCGCCATATCTATCCAAGGCAGCCCTCAGCACTTCCCAGACCATGCCACATGGGACTCCAGTGGCCACAGCTGGAATCCCTGGGTCCTTATGAATCATTGGGCCCAGGAGCGTTTCCATCTGACTCACCCCTCCTGTGCGGTGCAGGGAGCCAATGCTCTCCCCTGCAGTACACCCGGCAAAGCAGCTAGCGCACTCCGGAATCGCCGGAAGTGGCGCTAAGCTGCGGGACTTCTGTCCATCCCGGGAAGCCGACATTACCGCCATTTTCACTTGAGTTAGGTAGTGGGGCTTCTCGGGGGTGGGAAGGAAATGGGGGCGGGGCGGACAGGACGCCTTGTGATCAACTGGTCGAGGCCTCGCGATCGACCAGTTGGTGACGATGGCTATAGTGCCTTAACGGAGATGCTGTAAATTGATGGGAAAGAGCTGTGAAGAGAGAACAGTAAATACTTCTGAAAGCAAAGTAAGATGTTAGTCTGCTACATTGCACTGCTCCAGGACCACAGACTGTGTCCCATAAATTAGAACAGCCTTTGGGCTGCTTTAGCTTACACCAGCGACCACAATTAGATGCGAGGGCATAAGGTGGTTGTTCATGCCAGTTGAACCAGATAATCCAGCCCACTTCATCAACTGTATTGATAATGCTTAGCATAATGTTGCTACTAGCATGCAAATAAATTAATAATAAAATAACAGATCACAATATCAGTGCTATTTTTATCTGACACATTACCTTGACACCTCAGTTCTGGAACAATCAAGGTGTTTTCTAAAATTCCATAATGATTTAGTATAGGTTGTTTTTAAATCAGCTGTCAAACAAATATTGTATGAGATACATGCTGTTCTATAAATCCAAATAGTGAAATAAATTGGTGTGACCACAAACAAAGTACCATTATAAGTTTGTAGTAATGGATGTTTTCACTTCACAGCAGTGCTAAAATTGAAGCTGTGTCCCATTCTACTTCTAAAAATGAACTTCTCATTGAAGAGGTGTTCTGTTCCCTCCTAAAGCAGTGTAAGTCCAGTTTCCCTTAGTTTTTAAGGAGAAGTTTCCACTTCCTTGCACCCTATATAACCATTTACAGCTGTGTAAAGTGGGTGTAAAATGTTGTCATTTGATTACGTATTTTGCATCCATCTAGTACAGTGATAGATGATTATACAGTGTACAAGGCAATGAAGACATAGGTTTTGCACTGATTTAATGAAATCAGTAGAAAAAATAACTGTTAAACTGGTGCAGCTTCCCGATGTAGACTGGGTTACACCATATCAGAGTGTTGCACCAATTTAACTAAATGTTTTCTCCTCACCATTTGAGTTAAATCGGTGCCAAAACTGGATATAGATAAGACTGAAGAGCTGGCCCCATACTGATATGAACTTCCATGCTCAAGAGTCTGATACTTACCCAGAGAATTTGGTTCTCTCAGGAAGGCATATCACAGTTCCATTGGCCAACACTTGCAAAGCAGGATGAGCTGTGTCACTCATCACATGAAATCTAGTTCCTGGTATTAGTCATGATAAAGAAACACACCAATTCAGAGATGACTACAATGCTAGTTTGAAATCATAAAACACCAAGCAAGACAACAACAATCACTGTTATCTAAGCAAGACACAGCAGCAAGAATGGGTTTCTCTTAGAGAACAAGAGCCCAAACAGCGCACCCTTAAGCACAACTGCCCTTCTCATGAAATTCAGATCTGGATCTGAACATGGCAGCTTAGAGACATCCTATTTTTGCAAAAAAGGAGGTGGTGTATGCAAGTGGCAAGCCTTAAATCAGGGCTACACCTGCATCAGCAGTGTTTTCCCTGCTTCACACTCCCACACATAAAACAATTATACAGCAAGAGAATCAGTGGCTACCAGCACTGACTAACAGCATTGACAAATTTTCATCATTTTTGTTGTGTTTTCCAACATAATCATGAGAGTTTCACAAAGAGGAATCCAGCAGTTTTGAACATTAATGGTTTTCTTTACTATACTGTAGTGATCCAGTTCCCCACTAGAGTAGCACATTCATATATACCAGTGGTTCCCAAACTTTTTGGCATCATGCTCCCCTTTTTTATTTTAGAAGACCCTCCTCCTCCCCCCTCCAATAGCAACAAAACTTGTTGAGCAAAAAAAAACTTAATTGGGGAGTTTGGGGGGTGGGCTGGGTCACCTCAAATGCCCCCCCCCCCGGAATTTCTTCACGCCCCCTAGTTTGGGAACTCATGATATATACGGCCTCACTGTGAATCTGCCAGAGGGAGTCACAACAAGCGATACTCTGGGAAGTTGTATGACTACATACAGTTTGTTGCTGTAATTGTTCTCCAAATTTCTTTACTAATCTTATTGCTGCCTCCATCAAAATCTTTTTCATTTGTAATAGTAATGTTGTGCCAAATAAGGCAGAGGCTCCCAATGGGTTAAAGTAGCTCAAAAACTCTTTGGGCAACACAGAGATCCCTAGTATTAAAAATGTTTTGAAAAATACTTGACTTCAAAACACAGCTCTTCATAGTTGAGCTTGCCATCCAGTATATTCTTCTAGAACCCTGGACTAAGTTTTCTTGAAAAGTCCAATTACAAACTTTCAGTGGTATTTCAGATAATTCTGTATAATTAGTTAATAGAATCTTTTATAAGTAATGTCTTGCCAAGGCTAAAAATACCAACCCAAAACATATCCAGGTAAGGCACCCAAGGGGATGAAAGACAAAGATCAGTTTCTGTTCATTGTTACAGCTGTTGAATGCACTAGAGCTGTCTAAAGAGGGCAGAACTTTGTATTGTTTTAGGAACTGTATAAAGTTCCAGAACCTGAAAAATATTGGACAGTTTCCAATGGCCCTGATACTGATTTCACATACACCAGCCTTACACTGGCCAACTCTTCTAAGTTATTCCCAATATACACTAAATGTCAGTCAAATCAGAATTTGGCCCAGTATGTCATAATAAACCAATTACTTATAGAGACTAAATTTCAGCATTACATTCTGGGGCACTTACATCATCTCTGAGTGCCCTGCCACTCTACCCTAATGCAGCTCTACCTTTTGTTGAGATGAGGGCAGCTTCACTCTGATCACTTGTCCCAGATGAGTTGACAGCTCTCACATAGAAGAAATAATTCACATTGGGCTGCAGAGTAACTTCCAGTTCTGGCTTTTTTATTCCAGCAAAAGATCTAGAAAAATTCAACAATTTTTACAGTTGAAAATACACTTATCATGAAACCAAATTAAAGTTATCTTTTAAACAAGTAGCTAAGCCATTGTAGCTATGTTATACTGCACTTGAATATTACAGTGATGAGCACTGTAGGAAAAAATAAGGTTGGATGGAAGCATGGACAGATCTTTTCTTCAAATTATAGATGGATTTTATTGTTTTATCTATGACATTTCCTCTTGTTTTACTGGCCGAGTCCTTTAAAGGGACCTGAGTTTCCACTGCCTTGCACCTGCTGTAGTTTTTTACAACTATGCAAATCAGGTGTAAAATTAGACTAATCTGATTTAGTAGCATTTAACAGCCACACTGTGCTCAGATTGCACAGATGGGAGTGAGTATTCAAAGCACAAGCCAGTGGAGAATCAGGATCCCTAATTTTCATTGATAGTCACAGTAAAATGGCCTTGTTGCCAGATAAACGAGTTAAGCAAGAAATAAAACCTGCAATAAATACAGCTTCATATGAGAGCACATGACCGGCATGATCAGGCTGCTTAAATACAGATTTCAACAATGTTTCAAATTACCACTCTTAGAGTATACATGGGAACCACACATCTTATTGTGGGCTCTTGTCCATTCAGCTAAAAAGATGCGGCATCCCCTCCCTAACTTTGCAGTGCACTTTAACTAGCTAGGTTTACAAGATAAAGCAACAGGAGAGCCACCTTGGCACAGTGTCCTACTTTGATTAATCCTGCCTTTTATGATCCCTCAAAAGCTCCTGCTTTCACACATCGTAGACAGCTGGAACCATGACACATCCAGGGAAACTGAGGAAATCAGTGCTCACTCAATCTACTTCACAGACACTTTCAAATGGCTTTGAAGGCATCGGGGTATCTAGAAAAATATGAACTTTACTTTTTATTCTGATGGAAACACATGGTCTGAACTCAATATTTTCTCATTTTCTAGGTCCATGTTTTCTAAGTCCCACAGACACACACACCCATTGCATACACACAACTGTATCCAAGTGCACAGCTAGCAGGTAGTTGCACCGATTACGTAACTTTGCCCACAAATACCAGTCTGTACATACCATACAGTTACCCAATTTTCAAGTGTAAATGTAGGTTGTTGTCTGGGGCAAATTCTGCCTTCTTCCACAGACCTGTCCCTTCACAATTGATTCTGTTGTACACGATGGAGCTGGATGTGGGGGATGTGGATGTAGGGCATGTCTAGACTTGCTTTCACTTTCGAAAGAAGATATGCAAATTCAGCACAAATTTGCATATCTTCTTCCAATCGCTTTTTTGAAAGAGGTTCTTTTGAAAAAGAAAGTAGTCTAGACACGTTTCTTTTGAGGAAAAAACTCTTTTTTGAAAGAACCGTGTAAACCTCATTTTTTTAGGAAAATGGTTCTTTCGAAAAAGGGGTTTTTTTTCTCAAAAGAATCACATCTAGACTACTTTCTTTTTTGAAAGAACCTCTTTCGAAAAAGTGATCGGAAGTGCATATCTTCTTTCGAAAGTGAAAGCAAGTCTAGATGTGCCCAATCTGTGAACAAGACTCAATGTGCCATCTTTTGGAAGGAGTAGAGAGAGAGAGTTGGGGATCAACCACAGCACAGAATCTACATCTCTCTACTTGCTGTATGGGTTCTGGATAAAAAAAAATGGCTCTGCAACTTTTCTGAAACATGGGGAAATGATTCCTCTCATCCTGGTTCCCACCATGCATCTCTCCAGCGTCCAGTTGGCTAGTTAGACCAGCTGCTAAGTGTTTGAACAAAAGATAGATGAAAATGGTTCCAGCAGGAGAAATGATGGGAACCCCCTCACTTAGGGCATTGAAAATGAGATCAGAATGGTGCCAAACTGCAATGAGTGCTCTTGCATCAATAGGGGGATGGAACTAGATTAGTCCTTATCTCTAAGTTTTATTTCTAATTTCTATTATTCCACAGTATGTCAGACTGCAAATGCAGTTTGTTACATAAGCCCATTATTATTAATTGATCTAAACTGTTTTTCTGCAGATGTCCCACCAGAGAGCAGTACAAACTGAAGAATGATTAGTGCTCATCCACTAGTATTTTCCAGTGCTCATCTGAGTCTTGTTTCTTAGTCTGAGCAAAATCTCACAATCCTTACACATTCCCTGTGAAGGCAAAACTCCCTTTAACTTCAAAGGGAGTTTTATGTCTATAAAGATTGCAAGATTGCACTCCATGGCTATGTCTACACTGACATTATACCGAAATAACAAGGAGTGCGTCTACACAGCAAGCCAATATTTTGAAATAATGTCGAGCTGGAGGACTTCTTACTCTGACTCGTGGTAACCCTCAGAGGAAGTCAAAGGAAGAGTGTTGTTCTTTTGACTTCCTGCTCTGTAGACAGCATCAAAAACTGAATTAAGCCATTTCGACTTCAGCTATGCAAATGACGTAGCTTCAGTTGCGTAGCTTAATCTGAGTTTTGCCCTGCTGTGTAGACATACCCATGTGAATACTGGGGCTAATTTCTTTCATGTCTCCATTGTATGCATTGTACAGTGGCATTTGTCTTTAAAAAACGGAGGAAAAAAATCACTCTGCCCTTCAAAGATGTTGCCAGTCTGAGTGAACTTCAAACGGTTGGGAGTTTTTATCTCATCAGGACTAAGCCAAACCTTGGTATAGAAATAAGCATGCAAATACCAAAAATAGATGCAGTAAATACAGAATCAGATAATCCAAAGTTGATGGAGACTGACAAACAGTATCACTATCAAGAAAGAGACTTAATTCGATGTGGTGCTTAAGCATGTGCCTGCCTTTAAGCATGTGAATGATCGTACCAATGGATTATCTCAGGCTCTGTGGATGGAGTGTGACCAGAGAAGGAATTACTAAAGAGAGGGTGGACTTTAAGTTTTGACACATAAAGGAGAAAGAATGGTCCAAGCATAGAAGTAGTGTGGAAAAAGGCATGATGAGAGTACAAGAAGAATGCAAAAGGAGCGCTTAAGAGGCAGGCTACAGTAGCATAAAAGGAGCCAGGAAGGAGAGGCAGCCAGGACTTATGCAGGAATGGAGTTTTGCTAAGCTTTGTCCACACGTCCTACTTTAAGTAAGATAGCCTGGGATACTCTAAAATATTTTAAAGTCCCAGCCTGACAACCCAACTGTTTTTGCAGGTGAACTCATTTTTCATAGTTCTCCGTTAGAAGTTCTGTGACAGAAGCAGAGAACACTGACTAAAAGAGTGCTAAAATCAAGATACATCAGACATGTATAAAAAATTGCTTGTCTCAATGAATGGACAAAAGCGCAGCACTTTTCTCTGCAGAGTGCCTTCCTGTTTTTCATACGAGATGTCACAAAAATCACTGCCCAACCATGAAAACTTCCCTCCCCCCTCCATTGAAGAATAATTATATCATAAAATAAGAGAAGGCTTCTTCACCTAACCAAAGGCTATACAACCTGTCCGTCTGAACAGAGATGGGAGCAAGCTGCAACATCCACATCTCAAGTCAGGCCAAACTGTTTCATAGTACAGGGGCATTCAGACCTGAGGTTTGTGTTTAGAATAGGATCAGCAATTAAGTCCATACTGGGATGTCCTCCAGGTCTGAGGATATTTGAATTTCAGCTTTGGGCCCATTTCAATATGAGATAGTAGTATTTCATCTACAGCTCAAATTAAATAGCAGCACAAAGTTGTCTGGACTCAGAATGGACCCATCAGTAAAATAATACAAGTCTGCCAGCAAGGTACTGTGCTTTGTAACCTACTTTAGCTAGCTTTAAGCTTCCTAAGAATAAGAGCCCATCAATTTTATCTGAGATTAAGGGTTTAAAAAATAGCCCTGCTGGTGCCAACTAATAAAAGAGGATAAACCAAGAAGATGAACATTCATTTGCAACATACAGTTAATTTCACCAGCTCCAGACACATAACAAACTGAACCCCAATCAAGAAATAAATCGTTGAAGGCCTTATCTTTTGGTCAGGCTGCTGGGGGAAGAGATGAGGTGGAAAACTGAGCCAATGACCCTGCTTCTCTCCCCACCCCCAGCCCCTCTAGAGCCCTAGGCAAACACTTTTGTCGTTTATGCATTAGATCAGCCCTCTAGTCAGTAATACGAAGTTTAGTATGAAAAAGGTGTTGGTTTATGTGAGTACATGGTAAGTAGGTGGAAAGGGAAGCAGCACAGTTAACATCCCCTGATGGTGCTATGGGAAAAGCCTACTTCATTTCCAAGTCCCCCATGACAAACTGTGATGCTAGATCTCCCTTAATCTAGCATAAACCATTGAACCCTATAATTTCTGTCATGGAGGAAGGAAAATCAATCTAACAAAATATGCTGAGTGTTCTGTTCTATACTCGCTGTTTAAAATATGCCTGCACATTTTACAGACAATTGGAAATGTAAAAAGATAATTGTCTTGTCAAAGTATGACACATCCTGGCCCTTCTTCGAGAGTTTTTTTTTTTTAAGCTTTCATACTGTTTCTATAAAATCTTTGATAAAAAGTACAGGGTATTAAAAATAAAGGCACCGATGGCTTTTTCCTTCCATTTTCTCACTTGATTGTTTAGAATGAGAAATCTAAGTACTGTATTAGAGTCTGTCTCCAAATTCCAGGTATTATATGTAACACTGTTTGACTAAGCAGGAAAGAATTACAGCTTTCTTTATATTTAAATTGATTGTGTCACCTCACTGATGCTTTCTCAGTGGTCAGAAATTGCCTAGTACACTGAACATTTTCCTGAGAGATGAGAAATCTGATTTTTTGTTTTCATCCATACAACAATTATATCCCATTTATTTCAATAAAAATTCAAAAGGGGGCACTTTCAAATTCAGTAGAAGCCAGGGGGTGACATATATATATTAAAGTGGGTGATTTACATATATTAAAGCCCTCTGTATTTGAAATAGCTGTTTTCCCTTCAAACCATCCACCAATGAAACCCAACTTCTAGAGCTGGACTGACATCATCCAT